CAGGATGCAGAGGTTGCAGTGAGCCAAGATCACGCCACTGGACTCCAGCCTGGGTAACAGAGCAAGACTCCATCTCAAACAAAACAAAACAAAAAAACAGAAAACACAATGTGGGCCATGCCCTACCTCTGTGGCTTCCTTTCCTGGTTCGCAGCATAAGGACTCTGTTCCTGGTATCCTGGAACGTGGCTTCCCACTCTGTGGTCTTGTGCCTATCTGGAAGCCCTTCCACCTCTTTCACTGTGCTAGCCATTCTGCAAGACTTTCAAGGCTACCTCCTTTGGGAGGCATTACCCCTCCCAACACCAAGTCAGTTTTTGTTTCTTTGTTTTGTTTTTGAGACAGGGTCTCCTCTGTCACTTAGGCTGGGTGCAGTGGTACAATCTTGGCTCACTGTAGCCTCAAATTCCCAGGCTCAAGTGATTCGCCCACTCAACTTCCAGAGTACCTGGACCATAAGTGTGTGCCACCACACCCAGCTAATTTTTTTTTTTTTTTTTCGTAGAGGCAGGATTTCACCATGTTGGCCAGGCTGGTCTCAAACTCCTGAGCTCAAGCAATCTGCCCACCTCAACCTCCCAAAGTGCTAAGATTACAGGGGTGAGCCACTGCACCCAGCTAACAAATCAGTTTATAGATTCATATCATCACATGCTTGTTTCCATCAGGACAATGAAGAGAACACAGGAAGCTGGGGGATTTTAGTAAACTTTCTAAAGCTGTTTTATCAGATGCATAAAAAGCCACTGATGAACATTTAAAAGTTGGCCTATTTTGTTAATGTGCAGACTTCCATAGTGCCTGTATATTCCTTGGGCATCTGATGAACATGGTGTTAATACCTCCACAGTTTCCATTTTTACTCAATTTTCTTTAACAAGACTTCTGTTAATGGCCAGGCCCGTGGCTCATGCCTGTAATCCCAGCACTTTGGGAGGCTGAGGCAGGTGGATCACTGAAGGTCAGGAGTTGAAGACCAGCCTGGTCAACATGGTGAAACCCTGTTTCTACTAGAACTACAAAAATTAGCTGGGTGTGGTGGCGCATGCCTGTAATCCCAGCTAGTCAGGAGGCTGAGGCAGGAGCATCGCTTGAACCCAGGAGGCGGAGGTTACAGTGAGCCAAGATGACACCATTGCACTCCAGCCTGGGCAACAAGAGCAAAACTCTGTCTCAAAAACAAAACAAAACAAAAACTTGTGTTAATGTGTTCCTCACTCTTTTTCAGTGAACTTCATATTTTGCTGAGCATTTATTTTTATATAAAGCATGCTCTGGATTGCAGATTTCTATGTGGGAAAGTCATCCTCTTCATCCTAGCAGAAACTTCAGGCGAGACCAGTAGAGAACAGTAAGGGAGAAAGGCACACTGGCAGTCATGTGAATCAAGACTGGAGATTAATGGGGAAAGAGAAGGTGTAGCCAGACACCTCTGCACTTCTATTGCAGAAATGAAGGAAATGTCATTCCTCAATCCTTAAATTCCAGACATATACTAAACTGCTTAAATTATGCAGTGTTGATCATACAACCTCACAAGAGTGAGTATTCAGTGGATCTATTTGATGTAGAAACTAAAAACAAATCCGAAAGAGACAGAGAGCCAGATAAACAGACTGATGCAATGCCTCAATTAGAAGCACCGATTTTTTACTTATTTTTTTTGAGACAGAGTCTCGCTCTGTCCCCAGGCTGGAGTACAGTGGCGCGATCTCGGCTCACCACAATCTCTGCCTCCCAGGTTCAAGCGATTCTCGTGCCTCAGCCTCCCAAGTAGCCGGGATTACAGGTGTGCGCCTCCACACCCAGCTAATTTTTTTTATTTTTAGTAGAGACAGCGTTTCACCATGTTGGCCAGAATGGTCTCGACCTCCTGACCTCATGATCCACTTGCCTTGGCCTCCCAAAGTGCTAGGATTACAGGCATGAGCCACGGTGCCCAGCAAGAAGCACAGATTTTTAAAAGGCAAAGCTTAGTGTCGTGGCTCATGCCTGTAATCCCAGCACTCTGAGATGCTGAGGTGGGTGGATCACTCGAGCCCAGGAATTCAAGACCAGCCTGGGCAACACGGCAAGAACCCATCTTTACAAAAAGAAAAAAAGAAAAAAAAAAACCTTAGCTGGGCATGCTGGTATGCACCTGTAGTCCTAGTCCCAGCTACTGGGAGGCTGAACAGGAGGATCCCTCGAGCCCTGGAGATCAAGGCTGCAGTGAGCTGTGATCGTGCCACTGCACTCCAACCTGGGTGGCAGAGCTAGACTCCGTCTCAAAAATAAAAAAATTAAAAGTGGGGTGGCAGCACAAGACTGTGAAGTTTATGTATCACAGTAAGAACCAAGGCAATTCTTCAAGAGCAGGGATTCTTTTTCGCCTTTGTTTTTCCTATGAGGTCTTATTAGTAAGTAGTCTTCCTCCAAGAAGGGCTTTTAGGTTACTTTGTCGCAATTTTCCTACCAGGCAGGATACCCGAATTAAAATCCCTCATCTCCAGAAAAAAATATAAATTAATAAATATTGAATAACTGCAGACTAGAAAAAACAAATAAAATCCCCGATCTGCTTTTATCATTTATATAATCATGAACGAGGAGCTGGTTCAGTAACACTGATAAAATGTAGCTAATATTTCACGACTAAAGACAAATCTTTAATCTAGACAAATTTAGACAAATCTAAATGACTAAAGAAAGCGGGTGCTTTCTCAGGGCATTTTCTCCATTAAATACACCGTGCGCTCTACAACTAGAAAGTCACAGTTGCTACGACTTCAACACAACATTTCTGGACCAAATGATCTTCTGAGGTTCCATCCCAAAATTAAGCTCTCTCATCCCATAAATTATATCCACGAGTAAAAACTCTCCATAAAAGATTAATCAAGAGACCGTAATCCAGACAACTTGAGTCATCATAAAGATTTCTGGAAATATTTTTAAAAATGTACATAACATGTCTAGGATTACTTTATCTTCATTTTCCTTGTTGGTAATTTAATATAATCTTTTGAAAACTCCAATTTCATTCTCAAAGAAAAAAATCTGAAAGACAAGGCCGGGCGCAGTGGCTCAAGCCTGTAATCCCAGCACTTTGGGAGGCCGAGACGGGCAGATCACGAGGTCAGGAGATCGAGACCATCCTGGCTAACATGGTGAAACCCCGTCTCTACTAAAATACAAAAAAAATTAGCCGGGCGTGGTGGCGGGCGCCTGTAGTCCCAGCTACTTGGTAGGCTGAGGCCGGAGAATGGCGTGAACCTGGGAGGCGGAGCTTGCAGTGAGCTGAGATCCGGCCATTGCACTCCAGCCTGGGTGACAGAGCGAGACTCTGTCTCAAAAAAAAAATTTGAAAGACATTGTAAGTAAAGACAAACTTAACTTTAAAAAAATTTTCAAAAACCCATGTTCAGAAACACTATAACAAATGTTCATTGTAGAACGCTGGTAATTGAATTAGATATTCAATATCTTACTGAAATCAACTCTTTACATTACGAAGTTTAAAGCATTTAAATATGGGTTGGAAATGTCTGCCTACTGAAGAATATTTCTACATCTATAAATAACATTATTGTTTTTCCAAGCTATATTCTTTTAACTTCCTGGATTTAACCCTAGTTTTGAATTTTTCAAAAATATTATTTGTACGATAAAACTTGAAAACCTACTTTTCTTCTTATTGAAGAATAAAAGACAAGCAATAACACAGTAAGAATGGAGATCGTGTTTTTAATTCATTGTTACACACTGCCATCTAGCAGGAAGCGAGCAAGAGTTATCACAACAGTTTCAAAATTGGAACAGACCTGAATGATCACCCGAGGCTAACCACTGTCTCCGGCTTCTCCTTACTCAGAAGAAAGTTTTTTTAAAACAGACTACAGTGCTGCTAGATTGGAGACTGTGAAACTTCAGTGTTCAAAGAGCTGAGCTGCTTATTCAATGCCTGAAAGGCCTCCATTTGAGACTACGGCAGACGAGGGAGAAATCCTGCCCTAGTTGTAGTGTGACCTTACTAACAATCCCAAGATTGGTCGTTGAGTTTCCTGAGTGTCTCATTGGAAAGAAGGATGTACAAAGGGAATAAAGTCCTTAAAGCCAACTTGCCTTATTCAAAACTGTGGCCAGCCAGAGCTGCATGCATTCCACAAATGAAAGTAACAATTCAAGTCATTTCATGCATAAAACACATAAAACTATCATTGCAGGGAGCTGTAGCAGGGGGCAGGGGACAGACTGTTGGGGCCGTGGTGTTAAGAAAAAGTCATTTTGCGTGACGTCTGCTTTATTTTAAAAAATCATTTAAAAATCCCCAGAAAAATGTCATAAAATCACAGCATGGTTATTTCTATAGTTTACACAAAATGAGCTCTGTTCTAAGGGTACTAATCGGGAGCAAAACACTTAACACATGGCTTGCAAATGGGATAACCCAGGCCTGCAGTTGCCAGTGCTTTCCCGGGGCATTTTCTCCATTAAATACACCGTGCTCTCTGCAACTAAAAAGTCACAGTTGCTACGACTTCAACACAACATTCCTGCAACAAGTGATTCTCTAGGAAGACCTGGGGGAGAACAAGGCAATTTGCGCCCCGCAAAGGCAGATTAGGTTCTGGAATGGACGGCCGCGGGCCTGGGAAGGAGGCCAATCGCGGCAGGCGGGGAGGCGTCGGGACCCCGCGCTCCTCCTCCGGGCTCCAGCGGAGGCTCCGGCCCGGCACCCGCCTCCCGCCTGGTGGGTCAGGCTTCAATCTCAGGCAGTGGCTCTGCCTATGCACCACTAAGTCCCCAAAACAGACTTGGATTATTTTGCATACACCACTCCGTCTCTTACACGCACCCCCTGCTCGGCACAGAGAGGGAGTTTCCTTAGGCTGTGACTCCCGGAGGTAGTGTCCCAGCTTCCGTGGGACCGGAAAAGCGTCTTTCCGTGTCTCAGCATCAAGCCCCTGCTCCCACCAAGCGACTGCCGCGGCTGGAGGAGATGCGGCGCTCGCACTCACCTCGCGCGGAGCAGGGTTCGCCCCGCGGACCGCAGCGCCGCTTCCTTTCTCCCTATGAGCCCCAGCCTGGGCCCCGGGAAGACCCGGAGAGCCGATCAGGAGCGGCGGAGGCAGCCGCGCGGGCGAGCTCGGGGCACGTTCCGGCGGAAGCACCTGGATCCGGGATTTCACTCGTGCCCTGTTCACAAGCTCGTGGGACCCGGGTTCTAAGAACACTGGGCCGCCCCCTGCTGGTGATCTTGGTTCACAGTCCGCCTGAGGCCACGGCCCCATGGAAAGTTCTCGGGAAGGCTGCGGGGGCCCTCTTCTTCGAGACAGGGAAACTTTCCGTTTCTCCAACTGGACTGGGACTGGAGCGCATTCAAAGTCACCTATTCAGGCCAGGCTCACACATGTAATCCCAGCACTTTGGGAGGCCGAGGCGGGCGGATAGCTTGAGCCCAGGAGTTCGAGACTAGCCTGAGCAACATAGTGGGACCCTGTCTCTACAAAAAATACAAAAGTTAGCCATTGTGGTGGCCCGTGCCTGTAGTCCCAGCTAGTGGGAGCCTGAGGTGGGAGGATCTCTTGAACCCAGGAGGTAAAGGCTGCAGTTAACCGAGATCAAGCTACTGCACTCCGGCCTGGGCAACAGAGCAAGACTGTCTACAAAAATAAATAAAATAATAATTTTTAAAAAGGTGAAAGTTATGTATTCAAGAATATCAAGAGCTTTACATGTTTTCTAAGGCTGGGCACCATTTCTGGCAGTATTTGGTAGACGGAACAGGACGATCATTTAGTTTGATTGTACTGGTTGCTATGGTGTAAATGTTTGTGCTCCGCCCCAAATTCATATGTGAACTTCGTGCCTTTGTAGCCTTTATAAATTTACAAATGTACTGTGTCTTTATCAAAGAGACCAGAGAGAGCTTCTGCCGTGTGAGAACACATATCCCTTGTATGAGGCACAGACGCTAATGGATGAAGAATCTGCCAGGGCGTTGATCTTGGACTTCCCAGCCTCCAGACTGGGAGCAATGGCGTTCTGCTGTTTATGCGTTACCCAAACTAAGGTATGTTGTGATAGTAGCCTAAACGGACTAGACACTGGTAAAGGAAAGCTAATTGACTTCTATTTTGCCCTAGTCTAGGAAGTAATAAACCTAAGGAGGTAATTCAACACTTTGGGAGGGCTGGGTCTAGGGCGAGGCAAGTGAGGCACTTAGGGCTCAAAATCTGAGGAGGCGCTGACTCTGGGTGTCCTGCGGTGCTGGGTGCACTGCAGAAGCCTGAGGGTGATTTGCTGTTTCAGGCCTGCCTCCCCCTGGTCCAGACCCTGCAGAGCTCCAGTGCCAAGCAACTCAACTTTTCTATAAAAACAGGTTGATAATAATGGTGTCCACGTCTAAAAAACATCAAACCACAGAAAAGATTGATAAATTAGATATGATTAAAAGTAAGAAACTCTATTCATCAAAAGACACCATTAGGAAAGTAAGAAATGGGTGCAGTGGCTCACACCCACTCAGCACTTTGGTAGGCTGAGGTGGGAGGATCACTTGAGCCCAGGAGTTGGAGACTAGCCTGGACAACATAGGGAGACCCCATCTCTACAAAAAATTTTTTTAAATTAGCCAGGTGTGGTGGTGCACTCCTGTGGTTTCAGCTACTCAGGAGACTGAGGTAGGAAGATTGTTTGAGCCTGGGAGGTCAAGGCTGCAGTGAGTCAGGATTGTGCTACTGCAATCCAGCCTGGGCGACAGGGTTAGATCCTGTCTCAAGAAAGAAAAAGAATGAAAAATGATCTACAGAATGAGAGAAGGTATTTTTGATATATTTTATCTAACAATGAATTTAGAATATAACAAGAACTCCTAAAAGCAATAAGAAAGAAAAACAATCACTAAGTACAGCACTTCACCAAAGAGGAATCCAAATAGCCAGGCAGTATGTGAAAAGATGCTTAATGTTTTTAGTCATTAAGGAAATGCAAATGAACACGATGATGATATATACTACACATCCACTAAAATGGCTACAGGTTTTAAAACTGACAAGACTACAAGGACAAAGCCATGAAGCACATAGAACTGTTATGCACTATTGTTGGGGGTGCAGTTGTGACAGCCACTTTGGAAAATCGTCTGTTCATCTTTAGTAGAGCTGAATATACACGTTATGACCCAGAAATTCCTAGGTATTGGCCTAATACACATACCTATATATGAACATCAAAAAGCATGTATACTGGTCCATAAAACACACCTCGGCCGGGCACAGTGGCTTATGCCTGTAATCTCAGCACTTTGGGAGGCCAAGGAGGGTGGATCACCTGAGGTTGGGAGTGCAAGACCAGCCTGACCAACATGGAGAAATCCCGCCTCTACTAAAAATGCAAAAAAGTTAGCCAGACATACTGGTGGGCACCTATAATCCCAGCTACTTGGGAGGCTGAGGCAGGAGAATCGCTTGAACCTGGGAGGAGGAGGTTGCAGTGAGCCGAGATCGTGCCATTGCACTCCAGCCTGGGCGACAAGAGCGAAACTCAATCTGAAAAAAAAAAAAGGCACACACCTCAACAAATTTCAAAGAATAGTCATCATACAAAGCATGCTATCAGACCACAAAGGAATTAAACCAGAAACCAGTAACTAAATGATAACTGGAAAATCTCCAGATACATGGACATAAAAACAACACACTTCTTTATAGCACATAGATCAAAGAAGAAAACTCGGCCGGGTGTGGTGGTTCATGCCTGTAAGATACGCCACCAGACGACCGCAGATACGTGAGCAAGCCCAAGTCAGCAGACTACCCACCTGACTCATAGAAACACAAACACTAATAAACGCTTACTGTTTAAGCCACTGAGTTTCAGAAGCATGTGTTATACAGCAGTAGCTAACTGATACAGAAATTGGCATCTATGGCTAGATGCAGTGTCTCATGCCTTTGGGAGGTGAGCAGATCACGAGGTAAGGAGATGGAGACCATTCTGGCCAACATGGTGAAACCCCGTCTCTACTAAAAATACAAAAATTATCTGTGTGTGGTGGTGTGCACCTGTAATCCCAGCTATTCAGGAGGCTGAGGCAAGAGAATCACTTGAACCTGGGAGGCGGAGATTGCAATGAGCCGAGATCATGCCACTGCACTCCAGCCTGGTGACAGAGCAAGACTCCATCTCAAACAAAAAACAAACAAACAAAAAAAGAAATTGCCATCTAGAAATGGGATGCTGTTTAACAAAAGCCTAAAATATGTGGCATTGGTTTAGGGAGCAAGTGCTGGGCAACAGTGAAAAAGCAAGAAGCATGTTTGTGTTTGACAGATCGGATGCACTTACTGTCTGCTGCCACGCAGCAGAAAACAGTCTGTTTCCATTACAGATGCAAAACGAAAAAAAAAAGTGCCATGCTCTCTGTCGGATTGTGGCACCCAAGATTGAGTGGGGGAAATACAGGAGAAAAACATGGTAATAAAGGGAAAAACATGGACAGAGAATTTTTGCAACTCAGAATTCATCTTGTAAATAGCAAAGAGCCTGTTTTACTCCAAAATGAATTTAAAATTTGAGGGTTTTCTTAAGGTGCTAAGACAACTGCTAGAGCAAACTGGAAAAATGATGACATGTTAGGTAGCAGCAAAACACTTGGTAAAACTATTACCTATAACAACTCACAAGATAAAAAACATACTTAATGTGTAGGCCTTGATAAAATGATTTCCACGCAGAATGCTAAATGTGTTAGTTGGTGGTGTCTGTTAGCTGCATATTGTAAGGACTGCCAGAAAGAAGTAAGAGAAATAAGGGGAAAGGGCTGCTGTACAGAATTTAGAGGGACTATCAAGAGATTAAAATTGAGCAGACTGGAAAATAAACCCTGTTCTTATCTCCAACCTCCCCAGTCAGTAAAAGATCCTCAAGATGAGGCTGGAAGATCTTTTGTTAAGACCTCTAAAAGAGTTAAGTTGGTACTAATAGATCTTTTCAGTTAAACAAAAGAGCCAATAAGAATCATAAAAATGTTGGCCGGGCGCGGTGGCTCAAGCCTGTAATCCCAGCACTTTGGGAGGCCGAGAGGGGTGGATCACGAGGTCAGCAGATCGAGACCATCCTGGCTAACACGGTGAAACCCCGTCTCTACTAAAAAATACAAAAAACTAGC